ATACAATCCAGTGATTGCTGTCATGAGCATCGATCTGTACAATTGGGATACGATGACATTCATCAACCAAGTCAGTGAGTCTGACCACCCGATCCAGTTAGTTGCTTCTTTTGATAAGCGTGGTTTGGTGAAAATCAGGTTTGGAAAAACAGGTCTTTAGCAAGAGCACATGAAGGTTAAATGTCAGACTGTTACCAGAATCTGGTAACATGGATAAACCTTCAAGTGACACATCTCTAAAGTCCAAAGTTTCTGCTTCAACGGCTGTGGACTATACAGATGACAACTGAAACCTCACATGAGGTTCAGTTTGATGAACCAAAAATAGTCCTGTTTTTCCTCATCACAAACTTACTATAGAAATCCAGTAAACTTAGGCTCAGTATTATTCGTTAAACTGCTATACTGAGTCTAACAAACCCCAGTAGAAGGTCTCGTCAAGTAACGTTAGAGCAACCTTTGACCGTCCAATCAAACGTGAGACAGCTGAATGGATTAAACCTATCAGACAACTGCTACTATTTAGGTAGTCTGTCTCACAGTCCCTGAACCACATTAATTTCCCTACTGCCAAGCCCTCTCTGCAGTGCTAAAGCCCTAAATAAAGCAAGTCTAGATTTCCTCAGGTTCAGGAATCTCTGGTCCCCTAGGGCTCCTTTACAATATAAATGGGTTTGTTTGTTACTATCAAAATTATATATATTCAGCGACTAAGCCTGAGTCTACTATTTAGGGTTTCGGATTTTCTCTTCCCGGTCCCTAACACTGATCTCTCAACGAACGGAAATTCGCATAAAGCACAGATATTGGACCTGCACTACATACGCTTAGGGGTTGCTGATGTCATGGTTACTATTAGCTTATATTTCCGCAAGATGACATCCTGGAATATTGACAAAATAATTTGCGACTGTTTACTCACTGTTGTGAATAATGGCGTCTTCCATGTGTATCACTCGGAAGCGATCGGGCGGACAATAGCATTCGGAATCATTCGACTTTTCGGGGTAAATGTTCAAACAGTATGTGCAAATGTCAACTTTCGCGATTTGTTTACTTAGACTGTATAGAAATCACCACTAAAATAGGGCTGGGACGGGTAGGAATAAATGGAATCGAGTACCCGCATGTGCTTACCCGAATCGGAATCGAGTACCCGGAAATGTAAGGAATACAGCGTTTCTGTCAACTGTCTGAAAATTCAATCACGGGTTGACAGAGATTATTATAGAAACTTGAAAGAATGGCAATAAGACATTAAAACAGATCTTAGGCTATTTAATTTACGTCTATTTAACCAATATATAGAGTATCAGCATTACTTACATTCCTCGTTACACTGGAAAAAAAGTCCACATTTACAAGCTTGGAAATGTCTTGGAAAGATGATGTTTCCAAGACATTTCCAATTTTGGGAAAGATGATGTTTCCAAGACATTTCCAATTTTGGAAAAATGAGATTTCCAAAAATTTACAATTTTGGAAATGTCCACAAGGGGAGATAACTGGTGGGTGATGGTAAATGATTGTTCTTTGCACGCCCCAGGACCTAATCCCTTGTTAATTGATGAGTGAGTCAAGGCAGTTAAGAGTCACCAATTAACAAGGCCTACTGCCTTGTTAAATTAATGAGTGAGTGAAGTCAGTTTAGACAGCCTCTGGAAGGAAAACCAAGTTGCAAGTTTTTATGCCTCTTAAAGAAGCCTCTGGAAGTAAGTTATATCTTTGATGGCCATTTAGAAGTGGAATGCATACAAAAAGCAAGACTTATGGATGTCAACTTCCTTACTGTGACCTGATTTTCACCTGATGAAGGAGCAAGCATATGCTCCGAAACATCGTGTTATTCACAATAAAGAAGTTGACATCAATAAATCTTGCTTTTCTTATTAAAATTGGTAAGTTATTAAAATCCACTGAGCTGTAGGTTTGTTAATCATGTCTCGATGTGATTATCGCTCTAACACACCTGAGAGATTCGTTAACAGTGTTGTATGCACAGGCGGTGAAAGTTGTATTGTATTGAATTTGGTTGGTTGCATATTGTTTTGTGTTATGCTGTCAGTTTGTATGTATGTGTGAATGAGGAACCTCACACAATATGACATTGAAAACAGACTAAACTTAACATTATTCCATGGTCAATATTGCAATGTTAGTGAAATGGTAGTATACGGAAGTTTGTTTCACATTTTTGATAATACCTTCTTTTATGCAGATAAAATTATTAAAAAATGAAGGAATAATGCCATGCTTCTCTCAGAGTAAGAGAAGATAATTTATATAGTGATTTTTATCAAATTAGATATTTCTTTATCGTCCGAACGGAATTCACAAATTACGGATGTTTTGTGTGGGTTTGTGTGCATGCACTCGTGTATAACATCTAACTTCATAGGTATTAAAATCAAGCCGTATGTAACCATAATGACTATATTGGTTGGAACACTTGAGGAACAAAAATAATTTCTTGCTTCAAAAGGAACTGGAACAGTAACATTTTTCATGTTATCATATGAGCTTCAAAACATTGAATGAAATAAATGCTGTATGATGAAATGGATCAGAGAACATTATAATGGCATAAATGACGTGTTAATGACACATTTAATGGTAAAAAATATATAATCACTATGGTAGTTAACTCATGACCAGACATGTCAAACTGGTACCGAAAGATTTATATCTCATATGTAAAAATTCAGTATTTCTTAGTACCTGAAATAGAAAACACGAATTTGGATGAGATGTTTTAATCTGAGATCAATCTGTTAGGTAGCAGTTTACTAAAGTAGAACTTAAATCAACTTCAAAAGATTGGTCATTCGCCAAGTGAAGCAGATCTCACTTATACTGCAGTAAACAGTATGGGGATACACAACGAACATACCACTTACGTGATAACAACTCCCTGTTTATTGCATAGAACGGCATTCCGATGTACATCGTTCAGAATAAACAAACTGATTGAATGTTGATTGATTCCATCACTTTGATAATGGAGTGGATTTCGACTTGTTGATCTTACTCTCCTGTTGACCCCAACGATGTGCTACTTGCTGAATTACCTGTTGTTGTTAATTTGCTGCTTGTCACTATGCATATATACTTCTATTCATCTGGTTGTAGTAACTTTTATCCAGATAATGGCGTGAGAATATACATGGAAACTCCCCTCTATCGACCTTTGGTCCAAACGGATGAGTTAAGAAAAAAGGTCGATGTCCCGTCCTTTAGCCATTTCACATTGGATTATAGAGACAATGATGGGCCTACGTGTTGATAGAAGAGGATATTCCGGATTATGCGAATGAGAGCACACCTAATGAGAAAACGAGCCAAATATATGTATAAAGATAGTGTTTTATTTCACAGAACTTTTCGTTCCCGCCGCTCACGCGTAGATAAATTACAGTCGTTAATAATAACCTTCATTAATCGGACAATACCAATGATGTAATTGTGTGTTACGTCAATTATGAAAAAGACAATTTATTATCTACCCTTGTCATAACAGAGTTCTCTCCCTTTCCGGGTACTCGATTCCTAGAAATAGGACTCGATTCCAGGTGTACCCGACCCGGATTCGAGTACCCGAGTACCCGTCCCAGCCCTAACACAGTATCTCTGTCGTTGCTCATGATGTCCCTCTGTAGCTAGACCAAAGTCTCCAATCTTCACATGTAGGGATGATCCTTGGAGGAAAATATTCCTCGGCTGAAATCATATATGGACAAATAACCATAAGAGTTTGTATTTTTTCTTAACAACCGGGCAAGTATGTTGTCAGTAATCTTATTGTCAAAATATATCTGAAATATATCTGATGCGACTTATAATTTTGACTTACTCTGTAATCCTAAAATTGTAAGAATTTCATGTTTACTTGTTTAACAAATGCAACAGTAGTATTAGAGCTGTTGGCAGCCTGTACATAACCAAGTCTTAACCAAGAACAAATTAATGAAAATGCCTAAAATACTACATCCCTGGGCTGCTACTACCATTCAAGAACAGGCTACATTTCACCGCCCAGGACGGGTTATTTTCAACACGGACTGGCACATTCTCAAATTCACCTGCCCGACGGTTGGGTTAAAACTTAGACATGTATATGAAGATATTTTGTGGGCAGGTAAGTATTGGTCAGGGCTGGCAAGTTTTACATCTAACCAGCCCTGTGGTCTGGCTGAAAATTTTGGGAGTTTCATACCCTGGAGTATGGGCAAATTTGCATCCTAGGGTCATGAAAACAATTAAGAAACTCAAATTAAAGCTGGTCTTGTGAATGTGACTTACCTTCAGATCCCTATGCATTAGGCCCTGTGAGTGTATGTAATCAACCCCTCGTAGAAGTTGATGAAATATCCTCATATTATCACTACCAATTTTTTCAGATCTGAAATAGACAGTTTTATTTTATTTTCAGACATGTGAATTCTTACATTACTGTTCCAATATCAGTAGATAATAGAATCCCTCTCTACTGATTTGCAACAAGTGGCAGTAATAAGGCTCCGTAGCTCACATTCTTTTGATATCAACAGCATTCACATCAAATCCTACTTTCTCAACTACCAAAACTATTCCAAGGGAAAAAAACAATAAAAGATAAAAAAAATGTTTCCAAAAAAGAAATATTCCACTGCATGTAAATTTGCATCATCATCTGCGAATCAGCAACACAGCTAAACGATGGCGATGGAGACAGTCTATAGTTATGACTACAAAAACATCCCTGTTTAAATGTAGGATAACAATTGAGACCATTTCCAAATAAATAAGGCAAATATTCAATTGGTTAAATGACTTAACACATAAAATTCAAATCTAGATACATTTTGAAGGATCATTATACGCCTTACTTCATTTCAGAGAATCTTGACCAGTAAATGAGGACAACACATTAAAGTAATAATTGTTTCATAATATTATCCATTTTCAGGAGTTATTCACATTTTGCCACCATTCATCCACAAACAACGTCCTGACCTGGAGTCTCTTTGATTGCTTCATTCCTCTGCACCAGCCAGTCATCTAGGGTGAGACTACACAACTCCATTTGTATGTACAACGTGACACTGGTCTGCAAGCAGAAAGGGAAATATGCTAACTCTTCATGAGAACACTTGGGAAACAGATATTGCTCCAGGTCTTAGAATGTGGGAGTGGTCTGCAAAGGTATGCCAGTTAGGTAGAGTTACTTCCCTTTGAAAACAAGGACACATGTATTATTTATGAGTTATGATGTAACACATCATATTCTTTGGTTATCTGAATTCTCATTTACTCAATGATTGCGTCCCTTGGGCCTGACACTGATTTTAACACTATTTCAGTAGCGCAGAGTGTCATGTTGAAAGCCTAGGATCCACGAGCAGAAGAGAAGACATGTCAACCCATGCTCACTGTTAATTTTCATAGTCACATGGTTTTGGACCCTGATTTGGTGTCAATGATGAAGCTTCTTCTCTATCTCGGCAGTGGGGTAGCCTTGTGGTTAAAGTGTTCGCTCACCATGCCGAATACCCGGGTTCGATTCCTCACATGGTTACAATTTGTGAAGCCCATTTCTGGTGTCCCATGCTGTGATATTACTGGAATATTGCTAAAAGCGGCATAAAACCAAACCCCCTCACTCACACACTACTTTTCCATCTTGTAAGCTTGACATAGTGCTTCTAACAGCCAAAACACATACTCACATCAAAAGGTGAAATTTGCCCATAAAAATCATCTCGATCCATTGTGTTCCCAAAAGACTTCTCAGTACTAGGATTAGGTTCACAGCTGATGCTCCTGCGATACACCCTCCTTGTGCTTGTTATTGCCTTATTCTCTGTATAATGACTCTCGGTGAACATCACGTCACTACCAGTGTCGGTGTTGCGGTTTGGCTCTGCAACTCCAGGTGTCAATACTTTGGTGGCAGTGAAGAAACTGTTCGCACTTTTCTGTTGTTGGGACACACTCAACGACTTGGAATGTGATGCTTGAGGTATACAAAGATATTTGGATGTTAATTCTGTGTTGGGCCCTATTTCCAGAATTTGGATCCAGTTCGAGGATCTTTGGGCCTTGTCTGTCATCCAAGTCATCTCCTGTGTTGGTGCTTCCAAATACTATGCTGACACTTGCACTGTTGCCTTGGTGACCAAAGCTTGCACTGGAACAAGCAGTCATGGATATTTTCTAGTATAGTTATCCTTCTTTGGTGATGTATGCTGTTATATATGCAATAGAGTAAAAGTATACTTTCCATCCACTACATAGTCTTCTTATAAAGCGCATCAAATCCCTCTATTTTGAGCATTAGAGCCCACTACTGCAGAGGTCAGAGTCTTCTAGTGCAACACATCAGAACCCTCTATTGCAAAGGTCAGAGCCCAGTACTGCAAAGATCAGGGCCCACTACTGCAAACATCAGAACCCTCTATTGCAAAGGTCAGATCGCCTCTTTGGCAAACATCAGATTCCTCTATTACAAACATCTGAGCCCACTATTGCAAACATCAGGGTGCCATTATTGCAAACATCAGATCTACTTTTGTCATCCACTACAAACATTTTACTCATGAAACGTTAAAAAGATTAACAAACATCAGAGCAGACTATTGCAAAGGTCAGAGTCTTCTCTTGCAAACATCAGAGGACTCTTTTGACCTGATGTCTTTTACAAATATCAGAGGCCTTGTTTGCAAACATTAGAGACCCTCCTACAAACATCAGAGTCCTATATTGCAAAAAGTACAGACACCTATGGCAAACATTAGATCCCCTTTTACAAACATCAAAGCCCTGTTGCAAACATTAGATCCCCTTTACAAACATCAAAGCCCTCTGTTACAAACATTAGAGCCCCTTTCAAAAACATCAGCACCCTGTGGATCAAACACTAGATCCCTTTTACAAACATCAAAGCCCTGTTGCAAACATTAGATCCCCTTTACAAACATCAAAGCCCTCTGTTACAAACATTAGAGCCCCCTTTCAAAACATCAGCACCCTGTGGATGAAACACTAGGGCCCCTTTTACAACATAAAAGCCCTCTGTTACAAAAATTTGAGCCCCTTCCCAAAATATCAGCACCCTGTGTAACAAACACTAAACTCCCTCTAACAAACATCAGCACCCTCAGCTGCAAACATCATAAAACTATCACAAACATCAGCGTAATATTGAACTGATGTTCTAGTCATCTTAAACAACTACTCTTGTACCCATAAGGCCTAAAATTTTTGTTGTGGTTCCGATTACCCGACCAACACTTGAATTCTGGTGCCGACACTATTTTTCTAAGCGGATTGAATGAAATAAGCTTTCAGATACCATTGTTTTTATCCGGCGCTGACAGATATCTGTCATTCTGATAGAGAAAGTTGACATGATGGCCGCAAGCTTGATTGAATAAACAATTACATATTGATACATGTGTTATTAGTTTGTACTTTCCTTCTAAAATATATTTTAAAAAAAATCCTAACTACCTACCAAAATTTTAAAGAGGTGTAATCGGAACAACAACATTTTTTTTTTATTTGGCCTAAACACATACCGTGTATTACCGTCTATAAGCCAAATTTTGAAGATAAAAAAAAGTAGTCTGTAGAAGGGGGTCGGCTTATCTATGGGTTACACTTTCGTGAAACTTTTTTCCAGGGGTCAGAAAACAACATCGTATCACTTCACGTGAACAAACAACAGAAGACGACTTTGTCAGTAAAGACGTCAAATTTGCAATTAAACATCACTGGACAAGAATTTTTACCTTTTAAGTTCTAAGTTGTTTTTGCTGGGCATTGTATTATTTGCAGGGATTAAGATTACCGTGCGTATTTGAGCCGGAAATAGCAATCAGCTGTGCACACGTTTCCCGGTGATCAAGTTCAAACATGCACAATAATATGACGGGACGAATTCTGACGCAGTCATAAGTAAAACATAATACAGAATACTATTATTTAACCCAAAGAAATATATCCTAGCATTGTGTAATTTCAATTACAGTTTTTGCTCTATAAATGTAAAATATATATAATCAACACTAAGGTTATACGGACCCTCATGAACGTGGTAAGCGGAAGTTGTACGCACATGGAATGGGATAAAATAAGCAAGCCATTTAAATTCACACATTTTTACCGATGTTACTGTAAACTAGCAGTCCATGGAAAACGAGGCAGTAATCAGTTCGTGATTGTTGAATGGGGTAATACGGACTTTGGTTTTATGCCGCTTTTAGCAATATTCCAGCAACATCACGGCGGGGGACACCAGAAATGGGCTTCACACATTGTACCCATGTGGGGATTTGAACCCGGGTCTTCGGCGTGACGAGCAAACGCTTTAACCACTAGGCTACCCCAACGCCCCGAATGGAGTAATAGTTTGTTGCTACAATAAGTATGATATTTAGCGAAACAAAATATATTATCCATTTTCTGTTAACTACACTTCGTTTCGATGCGTGAGTAGACGCAATATATATGATTGTGAATTCTTTGAATAATGTGGACCAAAGTTATAATTATTGGTAACTGCCAGTTGTCTGTGGTCTGTGTTTGCCGCGATTAGGACCCCATCGCGGGGGATCGGCTTATGTACGAAACATACCATTTTGACACTGATTTTAAGGGTCAAGTTTGGGGGTCGGCTTATCTATGGTGTCGGCTTATAGACGGTAATATACGGTAACTGGCCCAGAAATGCTGCTTTTACACACTGACCTGTCTGTGGATGATGAACTGTCATCTGATGTGTGGCTGGTGTCGCTGGAGGTTTGAGGACCTGAAACTGAGGGAGGGAGGACATGAGAAAGGGAGGGAGAATTTGAGTGAGTGAGTNATTGAGTTATTATTTAACGTCACATCGGCAATATTTCAGCCATATCGTGACGAGAACATTTGACATGGAAATAGAAATATATATAGATATTATAAAAACCTGTCGACGAAGGACAGTAAAACAACTAGAATATCACAATTTGAAGTAAAACTAGCGTAGAAAGTTAAAACAAATAGCACTAATTGGACAATACAATATAAAAAGTGGCTAGAGATCGCAACAACTGAAGGGAGATCACCATACTAGGGAGAGAATTTGAGTGAGTATGGTTTTACACCACAGCAATATTCCAGCAACATCACGGCAGGGGACACCAGAAATGGGCTTCACACATTGTGCCCATATGGGGGAATCGAACCCGGGTCTTCGTGAGGATGTGAATAAGGAAATCAGAATTTTGAGTGACAAGATGAGGATCTGGGTGAGGACATAAGGAAGTGAGTGAGGTCATGAGGTCATGAGGACATGAGGATATGAGGTCAACAGTGAGGACATGAGTACGTGATTGGGGACATGATGTGAGTGAGGTCATGAGGTCATGACTGACTGATTGAGTTTAGTTTTACGCCGCTTTTAGCAATATTCCAGAAATATCACGCCGTCATGAGGTCATAGAGCACAACAGTGAGGACATGAGGATGTGATTGGGGACATGAGGATGTGAGTGAGGACATGAGGTCATGAGGGGGCAACAGTGAGGACATGAGTATGTGATTGGGGACATGATGTGAGTGAGGACATGAGGATGTCAGTGACGTCATGAGGTCATGAGGACAACAGTGAGGACATGAGTATGTGATAGGGGACATGATGTGAGTGAGGTCATGAGGACAACAGTGAGGACATGAGTATGTGATAGGGGACATGATGTGAGTGTGAGGTCATGAGGTCATGAGGACAACAGTGAGGACATGAGTACGTGATTGGGGACATGATGTGAGTGAGGTCATGAGGTCATGACTGACTGATTGAGTTTAGTTTTACGCTGCTTTTAGCAATATTCCAGAAATATCACGCCGTCATGAGGTCATGAGCACAACAGTGAGGACATGAGGATGTGATTGGGGACATGAGGATGTGAGTGAGGACATGAGGTCATGAGAGGGCAACAGTGAGGACATGAGCATGTGATTGGGGACATGATGTAAGTGAGGACATGAGGGATGTCAGTGAGGTCATGAGTATGTGATAGGGGACATGATGTGAGTGAGGTCATGAGGTCATGAGGACAACAGTGAGGACATGAGTATGTGATAGGGGACATGATGTGAGTGAGGTCATTAGGTCATGAGGACAACAGTGAGGACATGAGTATGTGATTGGGGACATGATGTGAGTGAGGTCATGAGGGATGTCAGTGAGGTCCTGAGGTCATAGGGACAACAGTGAGGACATGAGTATGTGATAGGGGACATGATGTGAGTGAGGTCATGAGGTCATGACTGACTGATTGAGTTTAGTTTTACGCCGCTTTTAGCAATATTCCAGAAATATCACGCCGTCATGAGGTCATGAGCACAACAGTGAGGACATGAGGATGTGATTGGGGACATGAGGATGTGAGTGAGGACATGAGGTCATGAGGGGCAACAGTGAGGACATGAGCATGTGATTGGGGACATGATGTGAGTGAGGGACATGAGGGATGTCAGTGAGGTCATGAGTATGTGATAGGGGACATGATGTGAGTGAGGTCATGAGGTCATGAGGACAACATTGAGGACATGAGTATGTGATTGGGGACATGATGTGAGTGAGGTCATGAGGATGTCAGTGAGGTCATGAGGGACAACAGTGAGGACACATGAGTATGTGATAGGGGACATGATGTGAGTGAGGTCATGAGGACAACAGTGAGGACATGAGTATGTGATAGGGGGCATGATGTGAGTGAGGTGCCAGGTCATGAGGTCATGAGGACAACAGTGAAGACATGAGTATGTGATAGGGGACATGATGTGAGTGAGGTCATGAGGTCATGAGGACAACAGTGAGGACATGAGGTATGTGTTAGGGGACATGGTGTGAGTGGAGGTCATGAGGTCATGAGGGACAACATTGAGGACATGAGTATGTGATAGGGGGACATGATGTGAGTGAGGTCATGAGGTCATGAGGGACAACATTGAGGACATGAGTATGTGATAGGGGACATGATGTGAGTGAGGTCATGAGGACAACATTGAGGACATGAGTAAGTGATAGGGGTCATGATGTGAGTGAGGTCAAGAGCACATAGGAGGTCAACAGTGAGGATATGAGTATGTGATTGGGGACATGATGTGAGTGAGGTCATGAGGTCATGAGGGACAACAGTGAGGATATGAGTATGTGATAGGGGACATGATGTGAGTGAGGTCATGAGGTCAGCAAGGGACAACAGTGAGGACATGAGTATGTGATTGGGGACATGATGAGTGAGGTCATGAGGGACAACAGTGAGGACATGAGTATGTGATTGGGGACATGATGTGAGTGAGGTCATGAGGTCATGAGGACAACAGTGAGGACATGAGTATGTGATTGGGGACATGATGTGAGTGAGGTCCATGAGGGACAACAGTGGGGACATGAGTATGTGATAGGGGACATGAGGATGTGAGTGAGGTCATGAGGTCATGAGGACAACAGTGAGGACATGAGTATGTGATTGGGGACATGATGTGAGTGAGGTCATGAGGTCATGAGCACATGAGGACAACAGTGAGGACATGAGTATGTGATTGGGGACATGATGTGAGTGAGGTCATGAGGTCATGAGAACATGAGGTCAACAGTGAGGACATGAGTATGTGATTGGGGACATGATGATGTGAGTGAGGACACTATTCTAGTTATAGCACAGAGGTATGCAAAAAATGAACTCTAGGCCAGTGACTGAAATTTGCAATGTTCCATGTCAGGGTACAGTGCCTCTTAAGTCACAGTCACAAAGTTTGGCCACTAAACCTTACAACTGCACAGGTTACTGCAGACCTGGGTCCTGATCCACAAAGCGTTTGTAACGTTAGGCCTGTCGTAACTCTGTAGTTTTTATAGGCTTATGAATGTCATAGCGCTACAAACCTTTTGTGGATCGGTACCCAGGTACTTCAACCAAGTTCAAAATACACATGTGATCGAAACGATGACTGAACCCAGATCATTACTTCATACTCACTGCCATGCTCTAGCCATGCTGCATTGTAGCCAACAATATTGCTGTGTGTGAGACCTGCCAATGCCTTTACTTCCCGTAATAGCTGAAATGTCAACAGAACAATAGCAGAAGTGGAACACTTTTTATGGATAGACAACTTCTTTGTTGCAGTAGTAGTTGCGACGTTCCGGTGTAGATCCTAACACCGTTATCAAGCAAATGATTTGCACAACACAACATTTGCACAAGGAGAAATATATACATGGCGGGTATTGGGTTTACACAATAGAAGAAGTTGATGATGTACAGTGTGTAGACATGGGACTTGTTGTGATAAGATATGATTGAAGCCAGTAGACAAAGGGTGGGTTATTCTTGATTAGGCTTGATTAGTTGATCGTAAACCGTGGGGATGTAATAACCTTGATCTCTGTTGATTGTGGGGTTGAGAAAGAAGTTGTCTATCCATAAAAGTGTTCCACTTCATCATACCACTAAATGCCACTTAAGGAAGAGGAACAATAGCATCATAACTGTCTAATCATGAGTGAGTGAGTTGTGTTTAAAGCTGTTTTGAACAGTATTCCAGTCATGACGGCGTGCCAGCTTAATGTCGGAGGAAATCCTAAAATGATGCAGGTGACAGATATTTACCACTTTAGTGTGGTGCTGGGAAATAGAGAAAAAATAATCAGGACAAACCAGGATTTGAAACAATTGTTATAGGCTTCTGGCATGCTAAAGGGACACAACTCTGCATGCAAACTGTTGCGCCTTAGACTACTTGGACAGCCATGTCCCCATCAAAACATGACAGTGCATAATAAAATGGATGAATATTTACTTTTGAGTGTCGTCCTGCATTTCTATGTGAAAACTTGACTTTTTTCACAGCATACTCTCGTCCATCTAGATGATTTTTTGGCCTGAAACATATAAAAGCATGGATAATCTCAACATCGCATTGTTTGTTATTGTGGCAGTTATTCTTTCAAATTCCTTTTTCATGAGTGAATGAATATGGTTTTACGCTGCTTTTAGCAAAATTCCAGCAATATCATGGTGGGGTACACCAGAAATTGTCTTCACATTGTACCCATGTATGGAATCGAACCCGGGTCTTCAGTGTGGACGCTTTAACCATTAGGCTACCTCATCCCCCCTTATTTCATGCTATGACTCTTCACAATGAGATCCTCAATTTACTCTATCTGAGGGGTGACTGGGTGGATCAATGGTTAAAGCGTCCGCCTGTCACTCTGAAGACATGGGTTCAATTATGGTGCGATTTCGCTATCAACAACCTGCACTGATGCACGTTAAACATGGCTGGTGCAGGTTACTTTTTAGTAACAGGTTGCACCAGGAGCGGGTAACAAGAAATTCTCCAATATCTTATAGGTGTCATTGTGTGTCTAGATGGGAAGTAAGTGACTCCAACATTTGTGTAAATCAGTTATGTAGAAGTAATCATATAATTGAGATTTATAAATAAAGGTGATGCAAAATTGAAACAGAATCATTCATCATTTATCATCATGGGGTCAGGGTTTTGAAGAATGTATCTGAGACTGAGTACTTGACATGAAAATAGCTAAACAAGTATGTGTGATACTTTTTATAACCAGTGACATTATTTTATGGTGCAACTCAAATTTTAATGGTGTAGCCAAAGCCATAAGCTAGGTTGCACTCGGTGCAGGTACTGAAAAACACACCCCAAAATCACACGCTGAATCATCCATGCCTTTTAGTGTGGAAACATATAAAAGTATTACCTTGAATACTGAACCGAATCCTCCTTTCCCAAGACGACAGATTTCAACAAATTCATGTCTGTACCTAAAGTCCTGCATGGCTAGACTCTGAATGCTGTGGGTTAGCAGTGGTATTTCAGGCATCGCAAATGCAAAAGTCAGTAGATTCTTAAAATGGAAAATTGCGCCAATATTCCTCCATTTCCTAGTTTAAGGGTTTTGGCTGTTAATACAATCCTGTGTGAACTCCATTCCCCGTTTGTTTTTTTATATGGTAACAATTGATCCTTTTTGAGTCATGTTCTGAGTGCATGAGACATAAGATCAGAAAAATTTACCTTAACATTAAATTTAGAGGGTTTGTATAATTATGACTACTGAGACAACATCCTCCAGCAGTCCTAGATCGTAAGTTCAACATCTTGGCTACCGGTTCGGATTAAGAGCAAAAGGAAGTCAATAATGCTTCATACTTGTCATAAAGGTGATTAAAGTGGGGATTGGTTGGTCCGTCCCTGTAAGTCGATGGTTGGGTATCATGACATGGGCTGTTCATCACGTCACTAACTTCTTCTAAGCACTATTTCAATCAAATATGAAGACTACATACTGCAGACATTATTTGTTTTAAAGTTTTACTGAACTACATGCTTACCTTGGTGTGTTGGCCCAGTGAACCGGCATGAGTATTGGGAATACACTAGTGACTTGCTGAAAATAAGGAAAATAGACAGAGTTGAATTCATAAAGTGAAAAATCACCAAGTTTTAACTGACATGGTAGACTAATGATGTAATTTTCTGAATAAAATTGATATTTTATACTTATCCTGACTCATGCTTTTTTGCTTGTCTCCTTCCTCTTGCGAACGTTAGTGGAACACTTGTATCTCCTATTGAAGCTCCCTTCAATAAAAAACAGACGTAAAATCACTACTCACCAAGAGTTATCTGTCTGGCCGTTTTGGCGGGAAAGCGGCGCCACCGTACTCCCATGCTTCACTCTCTCCGAATTATGAGCCCGACACTTTAATTTACAGGGAAATCCAAAGTGTCTAGCTGGGAGGTTGGGAGGGCTTACCTCATGAGTCAGGATAAGTATAAAATATCAATTTTATTCAGAAAATTACATATATTTCCTTATCCTTTTCCTTATCCTATATCTTGCTTGTAGAATCCGTCGGATTTGGTGGTGGGTCAAGCCACTTCTGGATTCCATGTAGTGATTTACGTCTTACATACCCCCCTATGGGAACTTCCTGGTAGCACTTCTTTTACTGCTAGGCTCTGCTGCTGCTGTAACCCTTCACTTCCAGCTTTCTCTGATGGGGGGACCACAATTGTTAACTTTTGGTCCTTGCTTCTGTTAACATTTTATGTGGATTTTGCAACTCCATCTCTTGATGCGAGCACCAAGTGGAGAAGCGACCCTTTCCTGTACGAGTATGTCCTTACAAGTACTGGGTCATATAGACTCTAAAGCTGAACTCTCCTGAGTGTAGGCTTTTGCAAGTCATGTGATAAAAGGGCGAGACTCCGTCTCAGCGCCTTTGTGGGACTGTCAATTGTTGTGCTACAACAAGTGGGCCGAAATGGTGAATGCCAGAGACGTCCTCGGTGACGATGTCCCTCAGGTAGTGGTTGGCAAACAGCATGTCCCATTTCCAGAAGCAGCCCTCCATTATCGTCCTGATAGAGCAATTCCCATGTAGAGCGAGTGTTGACGCCAGAGCTCTAACTTCATGTGGGTTGGAGGCTCTTGGAGGATCAAGTCCTGCTGCTTTGTAGGCCCGTAGTATGACAGTTCTGATCCAGATTGATATCTTAGTGCGGAAGACCTCCGTCTGTGTCGCTGTCGATATCGGGACGAAAAGACGCTTGAATTTCCGTCTCCTGGACCTGGATCTTGTAGGTAGACTTGCAATGCTCTCACTGGGCACAAGGATAGGTCCTGCGTATCCTGTGGTCCAAGGACTGATGATAGTGTTGGGACGTGGAACTGTCTGTCCCATCTCAGTCCCATATGCACGATGTTTTGATTTTCATCAAATCGTGTTCTCTCGAAGTCCAGAGCATGTATTTCCGACATCCTTGCTGCTGTTGCTAAGGCGATCAGGAACAGCGTCTTCTACGTCAAGAACTCGAAGGATGTCCTCTCTAATGGTTCGTAGATGTCACTGGTGAGATGTCGTAGAACTACGTTGAGGTCCCACGCCGGAGCTTTAAATCTCTGTTGTTGGTCCTCCAATTTAAAAGGGCGTAGTAAGGCCAGTAACTCTGGTACTTTCGTCAGTTGCACTCGTCCTCATGGTGATGACTGAGCTCAATGCCGCTAGGTATGTTGAGAGTGTTGACCCTTTTAACCGCTTCGTTTGTCTAGGTGACAAAGGTAGTCCGCCACTTTAGGGTGTGTCGCTTTTATGGCTGTGAAGCCGGTCCTCAAAGCGTATGTCTCGAAGCTTCGCCACTTGTCGTCGTACAAGTTGCGTGTAGACTTGCGTAGAGCTAGTGTGACAGCTTTCGCTGCCCTGGCGGAACATCCTCTCTTGTTCAAGCATGCCTTGATACAGTCCACACATGTAGCCGGAACACCTCTGGGTTGCCGTGCGCCTCCTTTGTGTGAGGATGTACTAGTAGATTCGTCCACTCTCGTAGTTGCAGTTGAGGCAGTCCTAGTTCTTGTATGAGAATGGGGAACCATATTTTCGCTGAACAGTAAAGTGCGACCAAAATCAGTTGCAGGTCCTTCGTCTGACTGATTTTCTGCAACACCCTCGGTATTAGAGCTGGTGGTGGAAACGCGTAAGCGTTTAGTCCTTCCCAGGAGATGCTTAGAGCGTCCGTTGCCCATGCTCGTGGATCTGGTATTGGTGAGACGAATGTTATCAGTTGATTGTTGAATCTTGTGGCGAAGAGGTCTATTAGTGGTGCTCCCATCTCTTGTATGATCTGCTTGAAGATCTCTGGATGTAGCATCCATTCTGTTGAGGATGGCTGCGTTGGACGGGATAGTGCATCTTGTCTGTTATGCTGGCCAGTTGAAAGCAGAGGTCCAGAAGGTTCGCCGACCTTGTTGATCCTTCTGTGTATGTAGAACGCCACTGTGGAGTTGTCCGTATGTACCGTCAGATGAGCATTCTTCAAAATGCTGGTCCAGTGGAGTATGGCGTTTATCACTGCTTTCATTTCCAGCATGTTGATGTGCAGATCTTTCTCGTCTATGGTCCATATCCCAGCTGACACTTCGTTGTCGAGGTGTGCTCCCCAACCTTGGAGAGATGCGTCCACATAGAGATGCGTCTTGCACTCCGGCTCTGCTAAATAGGTGCTTCTGCGACCATCCGATCTCTGAGTCCACCATATTAGATATGGTTTTAGTTTGTCCGGGAATCCGAAGGGGTCCGGATCGTCCAGTTGTACATTCACGAATGAGGCCTTCGCGAAGGCCTTCGCGAAGGCTGTTCATCTGAGTCGTCATCTGAAGATGAGCGTGCCGTCCTGCGCAGATCTGCTCCTGGTTCTGGGTGTCGCTTCGCTGGAGGGCCTCTCCGATGTCTCGTCAGTGTTGGGTCCTTCGTGCAGGTCCAGGTCGTCTCTGCGGGTGATGACTTTGAAGGCCCTGGGTTGAAGATCTGCGATGATTGTAGAGCTGCCCTCTCTGCGCTGGTAGCGATATGGTCCAGGGATCGCTCATCTGCCGCCAGCGTAGATGGTAACTCGCTGCTGCATGAAGACCCTGGGTTGAACGTCTGCGATGATTGTAGAGCTGCCCTCTCTGCGTTGATAGCGATATGGTCCAGGGATCGCTCATCTGCCGCCCTCGGACTGCGTGCTGTATCTCTGGGATGATCAGCAGCGGCTCATCATGAAGTCATCTCTCTTCCATCGGGACGATGTCGGCCGAAAGGTCCCTGTAGTCTGCGCAGAAGTCCCCGTAGAGCTGCTAGACGTCTTAGGGGTGTGAGGCTTCATTCTGCGTAGAGGATGGCTTCTTCTTCTTCGTCTGCGTTGAGGGGTTGTCCGATGTAGAAGACCTCTTCTTCGAAGTAATGGCGGACAACATCCCACGCCCATCCTCCGAGGACACCTCCGGCAGGTCACTGGATGGAAGTAAGTCGTCTGACAGCAGTAGACAGCTCGTGAGGGACTCAGCCGGTTTATCCATGACTTGTAAAAGTCGCCTGGATTGTCGCTAGTACGTCTAAGTACAGAGAAAAATTATTTATTAATTTGAATTTCTGTTAAATGCTGATAAAGATTACATCGATAGCTGGAAGTACATGTTGTTGTGCAGCTAGGGCACAGTCAATGCGGGTTTGCAGCAGCGAACCTAAACCTACAACGAAAACAGGTTTTCATGAAATGTAAACAACTGAACAATCACGTTAAAATTTTTTGAATAAACAGTGACATACGAATAAATTTCAAACCATATTGTTGAAGGATACTCCCTAAACCCCTATAAAGGTAATTTATAGGGTAATAACTAAATAATCAAAGGATATAGTGCCGTATTGGAGACACAGGTGCTCTCCCAACCGTCCACTAGGGCGAAGAAGGAGAGAGTGAAGCATGGGAGTACGGTGGCGCCGCTTTCCCGCCAAAACGGCCAGACAGATAACTCTTGGTGAGTAGTGATTTTACGTCTGTTTTTTATTGAAGGGAGCTTCAATAGGAGATACAAGTGTTCCACTAACGTTCGCAAGAGGAAGGAGACAAGCAAAAAGAGCATGAGTCAGGATAAGGAAAAATTTTAGTTTTTAAGACAAGATTACTGATGAAGGAGCCTGATGTCCCTGTCAGACAATATTTTGGAAGATTACTTCAAAGGACTAGTGCAAACCTCCTTCTCTTGTCCTCACAATTTCAAGCTAGCCATGCATGAACAAGACAAAAATGTTCTTTATGTTTTCATTTTCAGTCCTTTCTAAGGGGCCGTTCATAATTTGTGGCTAGGGGAGTGATGATGAATTTTATGGAGAAGCATGTACAATGTGAATGCCCCCATAAAATTAATGCACAAAGTAAGTAACCCCTGCATGTCATGTACAAAAGTAATGACTCCTCTCCCCACCCTTCCAATAATTTTTTAAGCATTATTTTTTAAATATACATATGTACAAAATTGCTGAACCACCCCAATCCCCAGTATATGTGTACAAAATAGAGGATCCCTACCTCCCCCAGAACAAAATGGGTGACCCCACCCCTTAAAAATTATAACACTGAATGGTACTAGCTTTTGTTTGTTTGTTGTTTAACTCCGCACTCAGAAATATTATAGCTACATGGCGGTGGTCTGTGAGTAATTGAGTCTGGACCAGACAATCCAGTGATCAACAGCATGAATATCGATGTCAACCAGGTCAGCAAGTCTAACTAACCGATCCTGTTAGTTACCCCTATGAGACCAATTCTAACCTAGATCTTCACCGGTTAATGGTTCTAGCTAATGAGGGATGACATCACTTGACTTGCACTTGTTTGTAGAAAATTTTCCTAACCTCAGGCTAACAGAGCAGCATGAATTTTCAAGACTTGTCTTACCTTGAACATGTCTCGCTTTGCCTTGTGTATCATGTTATTGAGGGTGAGTCGGTATCGGGCTCTAGAACTACTCATTTCATCTGTGAAGGTCAGAGGAGATAACCCTCAACTTTGCCAACTGTTGACATATCTCTATAACAAACAATAATTTATCATTTAAGTAAAGCATTTATCCATGACATCAGCTTATGACTTAAAATGATATATGTCATACCCAATGGCATATGTATGCACATTAGAAACTGGGTAACCTTGAAAGTAGGACTTTTCTCCTCCCACAAGACATTTCAAGTGAAAACATGTATCACTACGCATGGTATATACATAAGATTTTGACAAGTTTCTGATGTTAATTTTGATGGATGCATTTCTTAAAATCGAAACAGTAATGTGAAAATAAAAATAGAATTCATCACGAGTGCTGTTTAATTGTCAAAATATGCATGGTGTAACCAGTGCATGGGTTACCGGAACCAAGCCAAGGCAACAAGAATGTCCCTCTACAATGCATATAAAGACTTAAATCTTACTGTTAAAAAGTTGATCCGCCATGTGTGGATCCTTAACAGCCATGACGCACATCTGTTCTAGGAGAGATGTGATCAACAGGTGGGTCTGAACTGGCCCTGGTGAGACAATCTCTTGTGGCTCCCCATGTACATCTGGTACATGTGGTATGCGCTGATGATTGCCACTGACGCCTCCCAAATCAGACTCTGAAAACATTTAAATGAGAATGACTGACACGGATGTAATAATCTTCAATGCTAAACGTTAAATGCAAATATACAAACACTGTTTTGTCGATGTTTGAAGGACATATGTAAATACTTTTAGATAGCCGAGATCTGACACAACAACAAAATGCTGACTAAAAACAAATGCACAGGGACCAAGGTAGACTAAGGCTTAGTCTCTGAATATATATAATTTTGATAGTAACAAACAAGCCCATTTAAATTGAAAAGGAGCCCTAGGGAGACCAGAGATTCAGACCTGAACCTGGGGAAATCTAGACTTGCTTCGTTTAGGTTCTAGCACTACAGGGAAGGCTAGACTGTAGGGAAAATAATGTGGTTCAGGGACTGTGAGACAGACTAGGACCAAGGTTTTACTTCAATACAACCGTATGTTCAGGCTGTAGGGAAAATAATGTGGTTCAGGGACTGTGAGACAGACTAGGACCAAGGTTTTACTTCAATACAACCGTATGTTCAGGACTTGCAGGTTTGACACAATGGTGTTAGGCTGTGAAATGTTTTTAATAACAATTTGAGCTAACAGTAAGATGAACAACGGTGAAAGATCTATGGATATACAACTTCTTTATTATTATGTAAGCGACATTTCAGTGTCGATGCTAAAACCATTATCAAACAATACATTAATAATAAAAGAAGTATATCCATAGAATTCTCTCTATTGTCAATCACATCAACTTCTAAATACCACTCAAAGACATCAACAGTAATATGTGAACAAATACGCCTAACACTTCCACCAGAGCAATTTCCTTTGGGTACTTGGATCCTAAATAGGACAATCCTGATCAGTGGTATTCATGTGACAGAATGTTTATGACAATTCCAATAAAAGTCCATGGTTACCCTACATCTTACTAATATTCACATTTAATTTCTGACTATGCAAACACAACTTCTGACCTTGAGTTGGGAATACGCTTCAGTGTATGCATGATCAGATTGTCTTATACATGTACCTCAGGGTAGAAATAACCCATTGCCCGACGTCCGAGTCCAGTGTTTGTTTCTGTCGGGCAAGCACATTTGTATATCACACTGTACCGGTGTCCAGTTGACTTTCCAATGTTAATTATGTTGTTTATTTAAAAATCAACAAGAAAACTGGCCGGTACAGTGGAAAAATTATCAGGGCAAGTGAGTTTACATGTGCCACTGTACCGGAGCACACTAGCAATTTTAAAAGTTATTTCCACCCCTGTACCTAATTGTTTTACCAGGGCTCTGGTCAAACAACTCACAATGCGAGATTTTGAACACAGTTCATGAGATTTATAGTGGGTACCAGACTAGGGTTGGGTAATAGGGTTTGGAGTAAACGGGTAGTAAATTTGGACCTGCCTCATCCCTAACCAACATGCACTACACTAATACACTGAATTCTTTCTACAATCCAATATTAAAACTCCACTTCTAGTTCCAATCTGATGAAATAGTTTACATTCCCAGAAAAATAATCACCATCTTGGTTCCTGAAGGGCTGCAGATCCCCGTTTCTTGAGAATGCAGTCTTAGTTCCCAAACTTCTCGTTAAGCTCTTGTTGCCAGGCATTCTTCGTCTGCTACAAATATATTCTGCATCTTAATCATGCAAATATCATCGATATCAGATTCACATAAATGGAGATCAAGAAAGGGTAATAATTGTTTCTCATCGCATATGTATCGACTTCATGACTGCTGAAACAACATAAAACAATATTCTGTTAAGTCATCGCTGAGCCGGAGTGTGACATTACGCATGAAATGTTACAGAAGTTCACAAGGTTCGATCCTTATTTGTGGGATATACAAGTATATTGTCTAAATGCGCTTCTTTTGTGCCAGGTCTTAGTTATATGTCTGTAGTTGTAAGAAATATTTCCATAAATCACCTCAGACTTCAAAGTTAAAAATATTTTACTTTACATGACACTTCAGCACATAACTAAGACAGCGACTAAAGGGTGTCTGAAATCTAGGCATCTTTGAAGTCACATCGCTAATAGTGCCGAAGCTTTGATAAGCCGCTTGCTTGGTATTTTCAATTTGGATTTATGCCATTTTGACTCAAAATCGGACCTAATCCTGTGCACGAATACAAACAATGACTTATTGCTGTTTATTTTGCATCGAAGAACTTCCCATATATATCGTAAAGAAATAAGAATCATTTGCCACAGCAAGTGAATAAATAAAACGTAAATATCGTAATTACAGGCGACAAAAGTTAGATGTAGAAACATGCACGGTTACCTTGATCCAGGTGAGGTGAGGTGAAATTGAGTTTTACGTCGTGCTTGAGAATATTTCGCTCAATTGACGACGTGCATGCCTGTGTATGTGCGGCTGCTTGTACCTAGCCCAGACTTAAGCTGGTTTTATAATGCTAGCCCACTGAGATACCATGCCGCAGTGAAGCATGAATACCCCACTCAATATTATAAGTCGTGTCTGTTTCTCAGCGTAAATTGTTTTGGTCGTTTCATATGAATGATCAGCCAAGATAATATGCGTAGCTGATGATAGGTAAAGGCCGGTTCTGCCCCCACCTGAACGATGGAGCCGAGCTAATTATAGAAATGCGTCATGACAAGGTGTGGTGCAATACACGGGCTATGTATAGTAGAGGGAATCCCTTGACTAAAGATAGCGAGAGAGGCGCGAGCTACGATCTAACGTGATTGTTTCCATCCTGGCTGAGGTTAGAAGTGAAAAAACTTAGACTAAAGATAATGACAAGCTATGAATGCGGTAGCTCTTTATAAATGTTCATAGGTAATGGTTTGATATTCTAACAAGTCAAGTAGGACTATATTATAGGAAAAGAATGTTATTGTGAACCCCATTGAGAGGGAAACTGGGTCGAACATAGCGAGACGCTGGCTCGCTTCAGACGCCTATTGTATACAAAACCCTAATGGATCATTCATAGCCTTACACTGATGCTTATAAAACCAGGTGGTTATTGTTAGAAATGTAAAACCTAGTCTAAAGTGAGAAAGGTTATATATTGGGATCATTGGTAGGAAGGAAATAATACGGATTTTCTCAATTATATATACTTTTCTGTAACGGTATGCGCGATCCAGTTCTGTATGTATGGGATTCTATCTTTCGTAGACAGTGTGTGCAGGTTGAAACATGAGTAGAAATGAGTGAAGAGTGATGGTGTCAACTAAGCAGTTATCTCCCTTCCCAATTTCATTTCAAAGAGATTACTAATGTTCACTTATGCTGGTTGCATGTTTTCTATATAAATGAGTCAAGAGCGGTTGGCGGGTTATTCAAACTGCTGTCAGCACGGAGTAAGGACCGCGAGGGAGCTCTCTTCACATACTGCAGTGTGAAAGAAACATTTTGAAAGGTGGGCGAACAGCACCACTGCGTAACCAACACATTTTCAGAGTAATATCAATCAAGTTTATGTGAATGGGGGTTATTTAAAATATATAATACTATTTCGCTGGCCCCATATTGTAGGCTACAATGCGTAATTGTATAAGTTACATTATAAAATACACCCTCGTGTGTATAGAGTCGATAGTATTTAACACACTACCTCTTGTATTACAGGATGTCAGAAAAACAAAGGTTTCTGGACTGTGGATTCTCTTTGTATGATTTAGAGAAATGGGCTGCAGACAATGGATTGATACATGATGCCGATGTGAATTTAAAACGTATTGAACTGCTTGCAAATAACATTAGCCATAGGGAAAATGTGATACCCTCTCAAGCACAGCACACTTGTCATACATGCGCTTAGAGGCTCTCGGCTAACATGCGCTAAGACATTCACACAGAAAAGAAATCTTCTCCGCCATGTTAGGACAGTGCACAACAACGAGAGATATAACTGTGAGCAATGTGGAAAAATGTTATTCCCGCCTGACGCACTTCAAAGTCACAAATGTGAAACTACTATTAAGAGGAAGGGAAGTGAAACAGCAGCAGAACCGCCGGCAAAACGTTCCTGTCTACATCCACTGAACACGGATTCTAATGTACCAGCCAGATTTCATACGTGTAATTTTTGTGGAAAAGTACAAATGTTTGCAACCCGGGGGAAATTGTTCTGCGAATACTGTGCTCATCGGGGAAGGGAATGCATGAATTGTCACCGTCCTCTCCCTGAGCGCTTCAACAGTGAGCGTGTGAACCAGTGCGACAGCTGTGTGAGGAGACGCCTGTAGCGACCAAAACTGGGATACGACCAGAACTGGGATAAACCGATCTAAATAATTGTTTGTCGATCAAATACATAGTTGACAGTAAGACGTATAATTCTCCATATTAGTTATCCCAGTTCTGGTCGCAACAGACGAGAACGCACATTTCTACAGTCAAAGCTGACACGCCCTAGCTTTTAAAATACTTCAAGTATTGTCTTATCATGATGCATTCATTCAATACAAAATCATTCTATTTAGTTTGAGAGTAGGGAGTAATTCATGGGCTGCTTATTCCACCATATTAACAGAGGTTGTTTACACCCGCGAGAAATCTCCAGGCTAACTGTCGACAGAAACCTGCCAGAGCAGTCCCCTCGCCCCTCATCCTCGCCCCTTTCCCTGCCCCGCCACAGCATAGTCCCCTACAACGCAAATGTGGATCACCAGATCGCGTCTCTGATAACACTGTAAGAGAGAGACAGCGCTTTGTACGACACAATCCCAAATATAACATATGTTATATTTACATGGAAGTGCATATCAGTCTCATGTTTTTGGTGGTTGATTCCTTCAATACAATCCAGGGTTCTGAAATACCCATATATTAGTGTGCCATGGCACGGTAAATACAGAAATAGCACGTCTAAAAATGTTCTCAGTGCCCTTTTGTCACGCCTACCTTTTTAAGAGACATAACTCACATTTAGTCATTTAATCCCCAAAACAATTATTTTTTTCCAAATTGAATAATACCATACATATTTGAATGCTCATAAACCCATTTCTTTGTTTAACAATAAATTTCAAATGATCAACATCATTGTCATTTATTCTAAAAACATGTGGGCATACTCGATTTCAGAAAGGCACACCTAAAATATTTGTCTGCGCCCTAAGGCACACTTAGAAAAAAAAAAGTATTTTATCCCTGATCTCCCTATTGAAGCTCCCTTCAATAAAAAACAGACGTAAAATCACTACTCACCAAGAGTTATCTGTCTGGCCGTTTTGGCGGGAAAGCGGCGCCACCGTGCTCCCATGCTTCACTCTCTCCTTCTTCGCCCTAGTGGACGGTTGGGAGAGCACCTGTGTCTCCAATACGGCACTATATCCTTTGATTATTTAGTTATTACCCTATAAATTACCTTTATAGGGGTTTAGGGAGTATCCTTCAACAATATGGTTTGAAATTTATTCGTATTTTCACTGTTTATTCACGTATTTTTGTACGTGATTGTTCAGTTGTTTACATTTCATGAAAACCTGTTTTCGTTGTAGGTTTAGGTTCGCTGCTGCAAACCCACATTGACTGTGCCCTAGCTGCACAACAACATGTACTTCCAGCTATCGATGTAATCTTTATCAGCATTTAACAGAAATTCAAATTAATAAATAATTTTTCTCTGTACTTGGACGTACTACCGAAAATCCAGGCGACTTTACAAGTCATGGTTAAACCGGCTGAGTCCCTCACGAGCTGTCTACTGCTGTCAGACGACTTACTTCCATCCAGTGACCTGCCGGAGGTGTCCTCGGAGGATGGGCGTGGGATGTTGTCCGCCATTACTTCGAAGAAGAGGTCTTCTACATCGGACAACCCCTCAACGCAGACGAAGAAGAAGAAGCCATCCTCTACGCAGAATGAAGCCTCACACCCCTAAGACGTCTAGCAGCTCTACGGGGACTTCTGCGCAGACTACAGGGACCTTTCGGCCGACATCGTCCCGATGGAAGAGAGATGACTTCATGATGAGCCGCTGCTGATCATCCCAGAGATACAGCACGCAGTCCGAGGGCGGCAGATGAGCGATCCCTGGACCATATCGCTATCAACGCAGAGAGGGCAGCTCTACAATCATCGCAGACGTTCAACCCAGGGTCTTCATGCAGCAGCGAGTTACCATCTACGCTGGCGGCAGATGAGCGATCCCTGGACCATATCGCTACCAGCGCAGAGAGGGCAGCTCTACAATCATCGCAGATCTTCAACCCAGGGCCTTCAAAGTCATCACCCGCAGAGACGACCTGGACCTGCACGAAGGACCCAACACTGACGAGACATCGGAGAGGCCCTCCAGCGAAGCGCCACCCAGAACCAGGAGCAGATCTGCGCAGGACGGCACGCTCATCTTCAGATGACGACTCAGATGAACAGCCTTCGCGAACGCCTGCACGAAGGCCTTCGGACGCAACCTCAAGGACGTCATCAACATCTCGCAGATCGTCAAGGGCTTCACCGAGGCATTCACGAACCAAGAGACGCTCACCTCCACGCAGGCCTCCACGCAGATCGCCCTACAGACGCAGCTCAACAGGCAGGTCTCCACGCAGATCTCCACGCAGGTCTCCACGCAGGTCTTCACGCAGGTCTCCACGCAGGTCTCCACGCAGATCCCCAGCGAAGGACGATCAACGATCTCACAACAGTGGACCTGATACAGACGTCACCCTCTAAGGAAGAGAATGCAGCGCTCAACTCTACAGGACGTCAAAGAGCCTGCGCGAAGGCATTCGCGCAGGCCATCTACAACGCAGAGACATCGCAGTACATAAACTCTCAACTGAATGCTACATGCATCAACGAGCCTGTGAAGGCATTCGCGCAGGCCATCTACAACGCAGAGACGTCGCAGTACTTAGACTCTCAACAGAACGCTACATGCCGTCAGCGAACCTGCGCGCAGGATGGCGCAATCTTCAGAGACCGTCAACAGATGATGAGCCTAATAAAGGACCTTCACGCCGACTACCTACATCAAGGGCATCAACAACGCCTCGCAGATCATCACGGGAATCCCCACTTAGGAATACATTGCCAGGAAGGCAATCCCGGACTACAAGACGATCACCTACACACAGGGCGCCATACAGACGCACCACGCAGACCGCCACGCAGATCTCCAAGGATATTCAACCAGGACATGATGGCGGACTGGACCTAGCGTCACCCTAGAAGGGAAAGATCTTCGCCGGCACAAAGACTGAGGGACATGTAATGCAGTTCAAGAGGGGTACTCTTGTCCGAATTCATCACCGGCACGGACCTTCAGACTGAATCCAGGACGGGATTCACATAGATTGATATATCTACATCAGAAGACTCATGGCCATATAGAGATCTTCACTTCCGTACAGATCGGCAGATATTCACACTGGCGTGGTTCAGCAGCAGCCTTGCTAAGGCTAGGAAACTACAAAATCATCAACGACTCCCTGGGTAGAATCTACAACAAAGTTCAGCATCAACTCTACAATTCAGCGCTTCATGGAGATCGATGTATGCAGTCTACAATAGCAGCACTGAGGACGTGAAGATTTCAGCTGATCATCTGTAAAAAGGGCGACTGCATTATCTTCAGGACTGAAGTAACAGTCACAGCAGCCAGGAATACAGCCTACCTACATCGGTATTACGCGGCGAAATATTTCGCGCGTTTACCATTCAACCCTCGATACACGTGGTCACTCGTGTAACTCCGGAAGGCTACGGACAAGACCGAGTGGTGATAAGATATCAACGGCAGCACTAGATTCTACAAGGACCTTTTTCCTGCTACACCGGTGATGTCACATCGCGGGAAGCCAAAGGAATCAAAATGCCTTATTTTGATTGGACCATGAGAGACAACGCCCTGCGCAGAGGTCGGACGTAGTTCACATGTCAGGAAATGGGTTACAAGTGACAACAACCTGTCAACGAGAGAGGAAGGCCTCAATTACAGTCCAGTTAGACGGGACCTACGTGATTTGGCTGCCTTCACGGGGTTAGAGACCTTCCCTGTCAACATTGAAGACGATTCATCAGACGAATTGCAGCAACATACGTTGGACGGACTTTGGGTGACGGCAGCCAGACTACTTTATATCGACTTCACAACGATGGCAGTCACAGAGTCGGACAAGCACTACTCTCTCCGTTATTACTACGAAGTGGCAGAGTCTGTTGGGTCTTCTCACGTCAGCACAGGACATGACACGCAGAGGGAGTCTACAACTACGCCCACTACAGGTCTTCGTGAATGTACAACTGACGATCCGACCCCTTCGGACTCCCGGACAGACTAAAACCATATCTAATATGGTGGACTCAGAGATCGGATGGTCGCAGAAGCACCTATTTAGCAGAGCTGGAGTGCAAGACGCATCTCTATGTGGACGCATCTCTCCAAGGTTGGGGAGCACACCTCGACAACGAAGTGTCAGCTGGGATATGGACCATAGAGGAGAAAGATCTGCACATCAACATGCTGGAAATGAAAGCAGTGATAAACGCCATACTCCACTGGACCAGCATTTTGAAGAATGCTCATCTGACGGTACATACGGACAACTCCACAGTGGCGTTCTACATACACAGAAGGATCAACAAGGTCGGCGAACCTTCTGGACCTCTGCTTTCAACTGGCCAGCATAACAGACAAGATGCACTATCCCGTCCAACGCAGCCATCCTCAACAGAATGGATGCTACATCCAGAGATCTTCAAGCAGATCATACAAGAGATGGGAGCACCACTAATAGACCTCTTCGCCACAAGATTCAACAATCAACTGATAACATTCGTCTCACCAATACCAGATCCACGAGCATGGGCAAAGGACGCTCTAAGCATCTCCTGGGAAGGACTAAACGCTTACGCGTTTCCACCACCAGCTCTAATACCGAGGGTGTTGCAGAAAATCAGTCAGACGAAGGACCTGCAACTGATTTTGGTCGCACTTTACTGTTCAGCGAAAATATGGTTCCCCATTCTCATACAAGAACTAGGACTGCCTCAACTGCAACTACCAGAGTGGACGAATCTACTAGTACATCCTCACACAAAGCAGGCGCGCGGCAACCCAGAGGTGTTCCGGCTACACGTGTGGACTGTATCAAGGCATGCTTGAACAAGAGAGGATGTTCCGCCAGGGCAGCGAAAGCAGTCACACTAGCTCTACGCAAGTCTACACGCACCTTGTACGACGACAAGTGGCGAAGCTTCGAGACATACGCTTCGAGGACCGGCTTCACAGCCATAAAAGCGACACACCCTCAAGTGGCGGACTACCTTTGTCACCTAGACAAACGAAGCAGTTAAAAGGGTCAACACTCTCAACATACCTAGCGGCATTGAGCTCAGTCATCACCATGAGGACGAGTGCAACTGACGAAAGTACCAGAGTTACTGGCCTTACTACGCCCTTTTAAATTGGAGGACCAACAACAGAGATTTAAAGCTCCGGCGTGGGACCTCAACGTAGTTCCATTAGAGAGGACATCCTTCGAGTTCTTGACGCAGAAGACGCTGTGCCTGATCGCCTTAGCAACAGCAGCAAGGATGTCGGAAATCCATGCTCTGGACTTCGAGAGAACACGATTTGATGAAAATCAAAACATCGTGCATATGGGACTGAGATGGGACTTCATAGACAGTTCCACGTCCCAACACTATCATCAGTCCTTGGACCACAGGATACGCAGGACCTATCCTTGTGCCCAGTGAGAGCATTGCAAGTCTACCTACAAGATCCAGGTCCAGGAGACGGAAATTCAAGCGTCTTTTCGTCCCGATATCGACAGCGACACAGACGGAGGTCTTCCGCACTAAGATATCAATCTGGATCAGAACTGTCATACTACGGGCCTACAAAGCAGCAGGACTTGATCCTCCAAGAGCCTCCAACCCACATGAAGTTAGAGCTCTGGCGTCAACACTCGCTCTACATGGGAATTGCTCTATCAGGACGATAATGGAGGGCTGCTTCTGGAAATGGGACATGCTGTTTGCCAACCACTACCTGAGGGACATCGTCACCGAGGACGTCTCTGGCATTCACCATTTCGGCCCACTTGTTGTAGCACAACAATTGACAGTCCCACAAAGGCGCTGAGACGGAGTCTCGCCCTTTTATCACATGACTTGCAAAAGCCTACACTCAGGAGAGTTCAGCTTTAGAGTCTATATGCACGTCTAGGACAGACTAGCATAAGTGATATGACCCAGTACTTGTAAGGACATACTCGTACAGGAAAGGGTCGCTTCTCCACTTGGTGCTCGCATCAAGAGATGGAGTTGCAAAATCCACATAAAATGTTAACAGAAGCAAGGACCAAAAGTTAACAATTGTGGTCCCCCCATCAGAGAAAGCTGGAAGTGAAGGGTTACAGCAGCAGCAGAGCCTAGCAGTAAAAGAAGTGCTACCAGGAAGTTCCCATAGGGGGTATGTAAGACGTAAATCACTACATGGAATCCAGAAGAGGCTTGACTCCACCACCAAATCCGACGGATTCTACAAGCAATATATAGGATAAGGAAAAGCATAAGGGAAAATATGTAATTTTCTGAATAAAATTGATATTTTATACTTATCCTGACTCATGAGGTAAGCCCTCCCAACCTCCCCACTAGACACTTTGGATTTCCCTGTAAATTAAAGTGTCGGGCTCATAATTCGGAGAGAGTGAAGCATGGGAGTACGGTGGCGCTGCTTTCCCGCAAAACGGCCAGACAGATAACTCTTGGTGAGTAGTGATTTTACGTCTGTTTTTATTGAAGGGAGCTTCAATAGGAGATACAAGTGTTCCACTAACGTTCGCAAGAGGAAGGAGACAAGCAAAAGGGCATGAGTCAGGATAAGTATAAAATATCAATTTTATTCAGAAAATTACATCATTAGTCTACCATGTAAGTTAAAACTTGGTGATTTTTCACTTTATGAATTCAACTCTGTCTATTTTCCTTATTTTCAGCAAGCCACAAGTCTATCCCCAATACTCATGCAGGTCCACTGGGCCAACACACCAAGGTAAGCATGTAGTTCAGTAAAACTATAAAACAAATAATGTCTGCAGTATGTAGTCTTCATATTTGATTGAAATAGTGCTTAGAAGAAGTTAGTGACGTGATGAACAGCCCATGTCATGATACCCAACCATCGACCTACAGGGACGGACCAACCAATCCCCACTTTAATCAGCTTTTATGACAAGTATGAAGCATTATTGACTTCCTTTTGCTCTTAATCCGAACCGGTAGCCAAGATGTTGAACTTACGATCTAGGACTGCTGGAGGATGTTGTCTCAGTAGTCATAATTATACAAACCCTCTAAATTTAATGTTAAGGTAAATTTTTCTGATCTTATGTCTCATGCACTCAGAACATGACTCAAAAAAGGATCAATTGTTACCATATAAAAAACCAAACGGGAATGGAGTTCACACAGGATTGTATTAACAGCCAAAACCCTTAAACTAGGAAATGGAGGAATATTGGTGCAATTTTCCATTTTAAGAATCTACTGACTTTGCATTTGCGATGCCTGAAATCCCACTGCTAACCCACAGCATTCAGAGGGATGCAGGATTTTAGGTACAGACAAGAATTTGTTGAAATCTGTCGTCTTGGGAAAGGAGGATTCGGTTCAGTATTCAAGGTAATATTTTTATATGTTTCCACACTAAAAGGCATGGATCATTCAGCGTGTGATTTTGGGGGTGTTTTTCAGTACCTGCACCGAGTGCAACCAAGCTTATGGCTTTGGCTGCACCATTAAAATTTGAGTTGCACCATAAAATAATGTCACTGGTTATAAAAGTAGCACACATACTTGTTTAGCTATTTTCATGTCAAGTACTCAGTCTCAGAAACATTCTTCAAAACCTAACCCCATGATGATAAATGATGAATGATTCTGTTTCAATTTTGCATCACCTTTATTTATAAATCTCAATTATATGACTACGTCTACATAACTGATTTACACAAATGTTGGAGTCACTTACTTCCCATCTAGACACACAATGACACCTATAAGATATTGGAGAATTTCTTGTTACCTGCACCTGGTGCAACCTGTTACTAAAACTAACCTGCACCAGCCATTTTAACATGCATCAGTGCAGGTTGTTGATAGCGAAATCGTACCATAATTGAACCCATGTCTTCAGAGTGACAGGCGGACGCTTTAACCATTGATCCACCCAGTCACCCCTCAGATAGAGTAAATTGAGGATCTCATTGTGAAGAGTCATAGCATGAAATAAGGGGAGATGAGGTAGCCTAATGGTTAAAGCGTCCACTTATCACACTGAAGATCCGGGTTCGATTCCATACATGGGTACAATGAGCGAAGACAATTTCTGGTGTCCCCCACCATGATATTGCTGGAATATTGCTAAAAGCAGCGTAAAACCATATTCATTCGCTCATGAAAAAAAGGAATTTGAAAGAATAACTGCCACAATAACAAACAATGTGATGTTGAGATTATCCATGCTTTTATATGTTTCAGGCCAAAAATCGACTAGATGGTCGAGAGTATGCTGTGAAAAAAGTCAAGTTTAAACATAGAAATGCAGGACTACTCTTAAAAGTAAATATTCATCCATTTTATTATGCACTGTCATGTTTTGATGGGGACATGGCTGTCCAAGTTGTCTAAGGCGCAACAGTTTGCATGCAGAGTTGTGTCCCTTGAGCATGCCAGAAGCCTATAACAATTGTTTCAAATCCTGGTTTGTCCTGATTATTTTTCTCTATTTCCCAGCACCACACTAAAGTGGTAAATATCTGTCACCTGCATCATTTTAGGATTTCCTCCGACATTAAGCTGGCACGCCGACATGACTGGAATACTGTTCAAAGCAGCTTTAAACACAACTCACTCACTCATTATTAGACAGTTATGATGCTATTGTTCCTCTTCCTTAAGTGGCATTTAGTGGTATGATGAAGTGGAACACTTTTATGGATAGACAACTTCTTTCTCAACCCCACAATCAACAGAGATCAAGGTTATTACATCCCCACGGTTTACGATCAACTAATCAAGCCTAATCAAGAATAACCCACCCTTTGTCTACTGGCTTCAATCATATCTTATCACAACAAGTCCCATGTCTACACACTGTACATCAACTTCTTCTATTGTGTAAACCCAATACCCGCCATGTATATATTTCTCCTTGTGCAAATGTGTTGTGTAAATCATTTGCTTGATAACGGTGTTAGGATCTACACCGGAACGTCGCAACTACTACTGCAACAAAGAAGTTGTCTATCCATAAAAGTGTTCCACTTCAGCTATTGTTTTGTTGACATTTCAGCTATTACGGGAAGTAAAGGCATTAGCAGGTCTCACACACAGCAATATTGTTGGCTACAATGCAGCATGGCTAGAACATGGCAGTGAGTATGAAGTAATGATCTGGGTTCAGTCATCGTTTCGATCACATGTGTATTTTGAACTTGGTTGAAGTACCTGGGTACCGATCCACAAAAGGTTTGTAGCGCTATGACATTCATAAGCCTATAAAAACTACAGAGTTACGACAGGCCTAACGTTACAAACGCTTTGTGGATCAGGACCCAGGTCTGCAGTAACCTGTGCAGTTGTAAGGTTTAGTGGCCAAACTTTGTGACTGTGACTTAAGAGGCACTGTACCCTGACATGGAACATTGCAAATTTCAGTCACTGGCCTAGAGTTCATTTTTTGCATACCTCTGTGCTATAACTAGAATAGTGTCCTCACTCACATCATCATGTCCCCAATCACATACTCATGTCCTCACTGTTGTCCTCATGACCTCACCACATCATGTCCCCAATCACATACTCATGTCCTCACTGTTGTCCTCATGACCTCATGACCTCACTCACATGTCCCCAATCACATACTCATGTCCTCACTGTTGTCCTCATGTTCTCATGACCTCATGACCTCACTCACATCATGTCCCCAATCACATACTCATGTCCTCACTGTTGTCCTCATGTGCTCATGACCTCATGACCTTACTCACATCATGTCCCCTATCACATACTCATGTCCTCACTGTTGTCCCTATAACCTCATGACCTCACTCACGTCATGTATCCAATCACATACTCATGTCCTCACTGTTGTCCTCATGACCTCATGACCTCACTCACGTCATGTCCCCAATCACATACTCATGTCCTCACCGTTGTCCTCATGACCTCATGACCTCACTCACATCATGTCCCCAATCACATACTCATGTCCTCACTGTTGTCCTCATGACCTCATGACCTCACTCACATCATGTCCCCTATCACATACTCATGTCCTCACTGTTGTCCTCATAACCTCATGACCTCACTCACGTCATGTATCCAATCACATACTCATGTCCTCACTGTTGTCCTCATGACCTCATGACCTCACTCACGTCATGTCCCCAATCACATACTCATGTCCTCACTGTTGTCCTCATGACCTCATGACCTCACTCACATCCTCATGTCCCCAATCACATACTCATGTCCTCACTGTTGTCCCTCATGACCTCATGACCTCACTCACATCATGTCCCCTATCACATACTCGTGTCCACACTGTTGTCCTCATGTCCTCATGACCTCACTCACATCATGTCCCCAATCACATACTCATATCCTCACTGTTGTCCTCATGACCTCATGACTCTCACTCACATCATGTCCCTATCACATACTCATGTCCTCACTGTTGTCCTCATCCTCATGACCTCCATGATCAGTGTCCTCATCACACCATGTCCTCACTGTTGTCCCTCATGACCTCATGTCCTCACTCACATCATGTCCCTCATGACCTCACTATCCTCCTGTTGACCTCATGTCCCCATCATGTCATCACATACTCATATCCTCACTGTTGACCTCATGTGCTCATGACCTCATGACTCACTCACATCATGACCCCCTATCACTTACTCATGTCCTCACTGTTGTCCTCATGACCTCATGACCTCATTCACATCATGTCCCCTATCACATACTCATGTCCTCACTGTTGTCCTCATGACCTCATGACCTCACTCACATCATGTCCCCTATCACTTACTCATGTCCTCACTGTTGTCCTCATGACCTCACTCACATCATGTCCCCTATCACTTACTCATGTCCTCACTGTTGTCCTCATGTGCTCATGACCTCATGACGCCGCGATATTTCTGGAATATTGCTAAAAGCTAAAAGCAATGACCTCATGACCTCACCTCACATCATGTCCCCAATCACGTACTCATGTCCTCACTGTTGACCTCATATCCTCCATGTCCTCATGACCTCACTCACTTCCTTATGTCCTCACCCACATCCTTATCTTGTCACTCAAACTTCTGATTTCCTTATTCACATCCTCACAAAGACATGGGTCTGATTCCCCATATGGGCACAATGTGTGAAGCCCATTTCTGGTGTCCCCTGCCGTGATGTTGTTGGAATATTGCTAATAGCGGTGTAAAACCATACTCACTCACATTCTTTCCCTAGTATGGTGATCTCCTTCAGTTGTTGCGATCTCTAGCCACTTTTATATTGTATTGTCCAATTAGTGCTATTTGTTTTAACTTTCTACGCTAGTTTTACTTCAAATTGTGATATTCTAGTTGTTTTACTCTCCTTCGTCGACAGGGGCGGTGGGGTAGCCTGGTGGTTAAAGCGTTGGCTCGTCACGCCGAAGACCCAGGTTCGATTCCCCACATGGGCACAATGTGTTAAGCCCATTTCTGATGTCCCCGCCGCGATATTGCTGGAATATTGCTAAAAGCGGCGTAAAACTAAACTCAGTCAGTCAGTCAGTCCTTTCGTCGACAGGTTTTATAATATCTATATATATTCTATTTCCATGTCAAATGTTCTCGTCACGATATGGCTGAAATATTGCCGTTGTGACGTTAAATAATAACTCATTCACTCACTCACTCAAATTCTCACTCCCATCCTCATGTCCTCCCTCCCTCAGTTTCAGGTCCTCAAACCTCCAGCAACACCAGCCACACATCAGATGACAGTTCATCATTCACAGACCGGTCAGTGTGTAAAGCAGCAGTTCTGGAGCCAGTTACCGTATATTACCGTCTATAAGCCGACACCATAGATAAGCCGACCCCCAAACTTGACCCTTAAAATCAGTGTCAAAATGGTATGTTTCGTACATAAGCCGATCCCCCGCGATGGGGTCCTAATCCTGGCAAACACAGACCACAGACAACTGGCAGTTACCAATAATTATAACTTTGGTCCACATTATTCAAAGAATTCACAATCATATATATTGCGTCTACTCACACATCGAAACAAAGTGTAGTTAACAGAAAATGGGTAATATATTTTGTTTCGCTAAATATCATACTTATTGTAGCAACAAACTATTACTCCATTCGGGGCGTTGGGGTAGCCTAGTGGTTAAAGCGTTTGCTCGTCACGCCGAAGACCCGGGTTCAAATCCCCACATGGGTACAATGTGTGAAGCCCATTTCTGGTGTCCCCCGCCGTGATGTTGCTGGAATATTGCTAAAAGCGGCATAAAACCAAAGTCCGTATTACCCCATTCAACAATCACGAACTGATTACTGCCTCGTTTTCCATGGACTGCTAGTTTACAGTAACATCGGTAAAAATGTGTGAATTTAAATGGCTTGCTTATTTTATCCCATTCCATGTGCGTACAACTTCCGCTTACCACGTTCATGAGGGTCCGTATAACCTTAGTGGTGATTATATATATTTTACATTTATAGAGCAAAAACTGTAATTGAAATTACACAATGCTAGGATATATTTCTTTGGGTTAAATAATAGTATTCTGTATTATGTTTTACTTATGACTGCGTCAGAATTCGTCCCGTCATATTATTGTGCATGTTTGAACTTGATCACCGGGAAACGTGTGCACAGCTGATTGCTATTTCCGGCTCAAATACGCACGGTAATCTTAATCCCTGCAAATAATACAATGCCCAGCAAAAACAACTTAGAACTTAAAAGGTACAAATTCTTGTCTAGTGATGTTTAATTGCAAATTTGACGTCTTTACTGACAAAGTCGTCTTCTGTTGTTTGTTCACGTGAAGTGATACGATGTTGTTTTCTGACCCCTGGAAAAAAGTTTCACGAAAGTGTAACCCATAGATAAGCCGACCCCCTTCTACAGACTGCTTTTTTTTTGGTCCTCAAAATTAGGCTTATAGACGGTAATACACGGTATGTGTTTAGGCCAAATAAAAAAAATGTTGTTCCGATTACACCTCTGTAAAATTTAGGGTAGTTATTTGGATTTTTTTACATATTTTTTTAGAAGGAAAGTACAAACTAATAACACATGTATCAATATGTAATTGTTTATTCAATCAAGCTTGCGGCCATCATGTCAACTTTCTCTATCAGAATGACAGATATCTGTCAGCGCCGGATAAAACAATGGTATCTGAAAGCTTATTTCATTCAATCCGCTTAGAAAAATAGTGTCGGCACCAGAATTCAAGTGTTGGTCGGGTAATCGGAACCACAACAATTTTTTTTAGGCCTTATGGGTACAAGAGTAGTTGTTTAAGATGACTAGAACATAAGTTTAATACTACGCTGATGTTTGTCATAGTTTTATGATGTTTGTAGCTGAGGGTGCTGATGTTTGTTAGAGGGAGTTTAGTGTTTGTTACACAGGGTGCTAATATTTTGGGAAGGGGCTCAAATTTTTTGTAACAGAGGGCTTTGATGTTTGTAAAGGGGATCTAATGTTTGCAACAGGGCTTTGATGTTTGTAAAGGGGCTCTAGTGTTTGATCCACAGGGTGCTGATGTTTGTGAAAGGGGCTCTAATGTTTGCAACAGGTGTCTGTACTTTTTGCAATATAGGACTCTGATGTTTGTAGGAGGGTCTCTAATGTTTGCAAACAAGGCCTCTGATATTTGTAAAAGACATCAGGTCAAAAGAGTCCTCTGATGTTTGCAAGAGAAGACTCTGACCTTTGCAATAGTCTGCTCTGATGTTTGTTAATCTTTTTAACGTTTCATGAGTAAAATGTTTGTAGTGGATGACAAAAGTAGATCTGATGTTTGCAATAATGGCACCCTGATGTTTGCAATAGTGGGCTCAGATGTTTGTAATAGAGGAATCTGATGTTTGCCAAAGAGGCGATCTGACCTTTGCAATAGAGGGTTCTGATGTTTGCAGTAGTGGGCCCTGATCTTTGCAGTACTGGGCTCTGACCTTTGCAATAGAGGGTTCTGATGTTTGCACTAGAAGACTCTGACCTTTGCAATAGTGGGCTCTAATGCTCAAAATAGAGAGGGATTTGATGCGCTTGATAAGTAGACTCTGTAGTGGATGGAAAGTATACTTTTACTCTATTGCATATATAACAGCATACATCACCAAAGAAGGATAACTATACTAGAAAATATCCATGACTGCTTGTTCCAGTGAAAGCTTTGGTCACCAAGGCAACAGTCCAAGTGTCAGCATAGTATTTGGAAGCACCAACACAGGAGATGACTTGGATGACAGACAAGGCCCACAGATCCTCGAACTGGATCCAAATTCTGAAATAGGGCCCAACACAGAATTAACATCCAAATACCTTTGTATACCTCAAGCATCACATTCCAAGTCGTTGAGTGTGTTCCAACGACAGAAAAGTGCGAACAGTTTCTTCACTGCCACCAAAGTATTGACACGTGGAGATGCAGAGCCAAACCACAACACCAACACTGGTAGTGACGTGATGTTCACCGAGAGTCATTATACAGAGAATAAGGCAATAACAAGCACAAGGAGGGTGTATCGCAGGAGCATCAGCTGTGAACCTAATCCTAGTACTGAGAAGTCTTTTGGGAACACAATGGATCGAGATGATTTTTATGGGCAAATTTCACCTTTTGATGTGAGTATGTGTTTTGGCTGTTAGAAGCACTATGTCAAGCTTACAAGATGGAAAAGTAGTGTGTGAGTGAGGGGATTTGGTTTTATGCCGCTTTTAGCAATATTCCAGTAATATCACAGCATGGGACACCAGAAATGGGCTTCACAAATTGTAACCATGTGAGGAATCGAACCCGGGTATTCGGCATGGTGAGCGAACACTTTAACCACTTGGCTACCCCACTGCCCAGATAGAGAAGAAGCTTCATCATTGACACCATATCAGGGTCCAAACCATGTGACTATGAAAATTAACAGTGAGCATGGGTTGACATGTCTTCTCTTCTGCTCGTGGATCCTAGGCTTTCAACATGACACTCTGCGCTACTGAAATAGTGTTAAAATCAGTGTCAGGCCCAAGGGACGCAATCATTGAGTAAATGAGAATTCAGATAACCAAAGAATATGATGTGTTACATCATAACTCACAAATAATACATGTGTCCTTGTTTTCAAAGGAAGTAACTCTAACTAACTGGCATACCTTGCAGACCACTCCCACATTCTAAGACCTGGAACAGTATCTGTTTCCCAGGTGTTCTCATGAAGAGTTAGCATACTTCCCTTTCTGCTTGCAGACCAGTGTCACGTTGTACATACAGATGGAGTTGTGTAGTCTCACCCTAGCTGACTGGCTGGTGCAGAGGAATGAAGCAATCAAAGACTCAGGTCAGGACATTGTTTGTGGATGAATGGTGGCAAAATGTGAATAACTCCTGGAAATGGATAATATTATGAAAATATTATTACTTTAATGTGTTGTCCTCATTTACTGGTCAAGATTCTCTGAAATGAAGTAAGGCGTATAATGATCCTTCAAAATGTATCTAGATTTGAATTTTATGTGTTAAGTCATTTAACCAATTGAATATTTGCCTTATTTATTTGGAAATGGTCTCAATTGTTATCCTACATTTAAACAGGGATGTTTTTGTAGTCATAACTATAGACTGTCTCCATCGCCATCGTTTAGCTGTGTTGCTGATTTGCAGATGATTATGCAAATTTACATGCAGTGGAATATTTCTGTTTGGAAACATTTTTTTTTATCTTTTATTGTTTTTTTTCCTTTGGAATAGTTTTGGTAGTTGAGAAAGTAGGATTTGATGTGAATGTTGTTGATATCAAATGAATGTGAGCTACGGAGCCTTATTGCCTGCCACTTGTTGCAAATCAGTAGAGAAGGATTCTATTATCTACTGATATTGGAACAGTAATGTAAGAAATCACATGTCTGAAAATAAAATAAAACTGTCTATTTCAGATCTGAAAATAATTGGTAGTGATAATATGAGGATATTTCATCAACTTCTACGAGGGGTTGATTACATACACTCACAGGGCCTAATGCATAGGGATCTGAAGGTAAGTCACATTCACAAGACCAGCTTTAATTTGAGTTTCTTAATTGTTTTCATGACCCTAGAATGCAGATTTGCCCATACTCCAGGGTATGAAACTCCCAAAATATTCAGCCAGACCACAGGGCTGGTTAGATGTAAAACTTGCCAGCCCTGACCAATACTTACCTGCCCACAAAATATCTTCATATACATGCCTAGTTTTAACCCAACCGTCGGGCAGGTGAATTTGAGAATGTGCCAGTCCGTGTTGAAAATAAACCCGTCCTTGGCGGTGAAATGTAGCCTGTTCTTGAATGGTAGTAACAGCCCAGGGATGTAGTATTTTAGGCATTTTCATTAATTTGTTCTTGGTTAAGACTTGGTTATTTACAGGCTGCCAACAGCTCTAATACTGTTGCTTGTGTTAAACAAGTAAACATGAAATTCTTACAATTTTAGGATTACAGAGTGAGTCAAAATTCTAAGTCGCATCAGATATATTTCAGATATATTTTGACAATAAGATTACAGACAACACACTTGCCCGGTTGTTAAGAAAAGATGCAAACTCTTAGGGTTATTTTCCATATATGATTTCAGCCGAGGAATATTTTCCTCCAAGGATCATCCCTCCATGTGAAGATTGGAGACTTTGGTCTAGCTACAGAGGACATCATGAGCAACGACAGAGATACTGTGTTATCTCCACCTGCGTATAAAGGTACCAAAGACACAAGAATTACAGCCTGATTCAAGTTAACTAAAACAAAATAATAATCTTCAGGCGCTTTATCATCAAGGAAACACAACCAAAAGGCCCTAAAAGCAATGCATGTCTGGTTTTAAACAAAAATGAAAATTCACCCTACAAAGGCATGCAAATATTATAGCAAAATAGAGTTGAAGACCATCCATTATTTTTCCTTATCCTGACTCATGCTTATTGCTTGTCTTCTTCTTCTTGCGAACATAGTGGAACACGTGTATCTCCCAATTGAAGTTCCCTTCAATAAAAAATCACTAATTAGTACTCACGAGTTACCTCCCTTCCACAAGCGCGGGAACGAGGGCGCCACCTCAACCCATGTGCCTCACTCTCTCCTTCTTCGCCCAGTGAGCTGGACGCGAGAGCACCTGTGTCTCCCGACACACTATATCCTTTATTTATATTTAGTTTAGTACCTCTTATATTCATTTATAGAGGTGTTACTAGTATCCTTATTCAACTTGCATTGATTATTAGTCGTGTTTCTGCTGTTTTATTCACGGTTCGCCGTGTTTGTTCAGCAGTTTACGTTAATGAGAATCTGCACAGGTTGTAAACTACGTTATTCAGCTACCGATCCACATTTAAAATGCCCTAGTTGCATTACTCCATGTTCTATTGTTTCTCGTTGTAAATTATGTATTAATTTACCAATTTCTGCCTTTGATAAATATCTATGTTCCGTTTTGAGACGGAAGGCAGATAAATCTCGCAAACAATCTTCAGTCATGGCTAATAGATCGGAAGCTAATATACCCTGTCAACTGTTGACTGACGACCCGCCACCGGCTGGTGGCCTGCCTGAGTTCCCTCGGGGGATAAGCGTGGGACGCAGTCCGCTATGTCCAAGAAGCGACCTGCATCTCAAGACATTACGTCTTCTCAGTCTAAGACTAGGAAAGCATCCACATCATCTCAACGTACGCTTCGAACCCCCAGGTCCACAGCTTCGTCAAAAGGGAAATCTACAAAAGCTACAAATAATTTTGCCTCCGATATTCTACCTGTCTCAGAATTATGTTTATATGATGACGACATTCCGATTATCATTCCAGATGTACGTCATAAGAAACGTCCAGTATCTGCTACAGTCACCACAGCGCAGATCAATACGCAACCAGAGATGCCTACGCTGACGCCGGAGATTATGATTGAGGGTCCCGTCACTTTAACAGAGAGGCCACCCTCAACGTCAGCGCAGACCGTCCCAGACGACCTGGTCAACCAAATCATGAGACTGATGGAGGACCGTTACGGTTTACAGAGGCCCCAGAGCCACGGGCCCCAGAGCCCAACCCATAATAAGTCATACAGGGCCCCAGAGCCCGCCTTGGCTGCGTGGGGCCCCAGAGCCCACAAACGCGCCTCCGCGAAGGGCAACCCAGCCCGTAGCGATCACTTCGCAAAGGAAGTCCCAGGCCGCCTCCGCGAAGGAGCTAGAGCCTCACCAGTTGCGAGGGACATCGCGGAGAAGGAGCGCTTCGCCGAGCCCACACCCTGTTGAACACAGAGGTCGTTCGCGAAGCAAGCGCTCATATGTCGATACGGACACTGACTCGATACATTCGCGAAGGTCGCGAAGGCTAAGTGGCTCCAAATCTACCTCACCCAGAAGATATAGAAGAGCTTCGCGAAGTCCCCAGCGTTCGCCGAGGATGTCTCCTCCAAGGTCTCCTTACACTAGCCACTCGTCAGTCCGTTCACCACAGTCCTCTCATAGATCTTCCTATAGATCTAGGACTCCGACATGTGACCCTACGTCAGAAGAGGAGGAAGGTATCATTTTCTCAGATGCTGAGATTAGATACTGGATGGTGAATGAGTTACAACTTGCTTCCCCATCGAAGAACGAGAATTCAACTCAGACTTACCTCATGAAGGATGATGATGTAGACAATATCACCTTACCTCCTATTGACCCGATTGCAGCGGTACCAGCTAATCTGGATACAGCCTGCTCCAAATCTTCGAAAGCCCAAACGCAGATCTGCAGACAATTCTATTACGGAATTGAACAGCAGCCTTGTTACAGCGAGTAAATTGCTCATAATCCGGACTACAACGATTTCCTGAGAAGAAAAAATGTACAACAAGTTCAGCTTTAATTCTACAATTATGACGATACATTCATGTATACAGTCTACAGGCTGACAACTTGCAAGTTTTATTGACCTTTATATAAGGAAGTCGGAATTATCTTCAAGACTGAAGTTACTTTCACGACAGCCAGGAAAATAACCTACCCAGCATTAATATTACAGAGCTGAGGTATTTCGGCCAGAGGTTTTCTTGGCGTTTACCATTAACCCTCGAAACACGTGGTCACTCGGGTAACTCCGGGAAGCTACGGTGAAGACCGACGATTGTTCTAATATCAACGACGGCACTATATTATACAAGGTTCCTTTTCCTGCTACACCGGTGACATCACAGCGCGGGTACTCTACAGAATCAAAATGCCTTGTTCTGATTGGACCGCGATGGACAACGGCCTACGCAGAGGTCGAGCATAGTTCACAGTTCAAGACATAGGTTGCAAGTGACAACATTATATCAGTGAACGAGCAAGCCTCCTTACAGTCCAGCTAATCTGAACCTTCATGATTGGGCTGCCTTCTTGAGGTTAGAGACCTCCCCTGTCAAGTAAGGACGAGGGCACGGCAGTCAGGCGATTTTTTTACATAAAGTTCAACGATGGCAGTCACCCCTGGTTGTGCACCTACATCGTCAAGGACTTCGCAGCGAATTTACCTCGACGACGGGATACAAGTGGATCCAAATCCACAGCGTCTCAGACTACAGTTGAATTTCATCATCAAGACCAAGAGATTGAATGTTTGCGCAGGCGTCTCCTTAGTAGAGCCGGAATCGAAAACACATCTCTACGTAGACGCGTCACTACAAGGTTGGGGAGCCCACCTTGCTGGCAGGACAGCGTCAGGTCTATGGAGCAATCAAGAGAGCAAATGTCACATAATCTGCTAGAGATGCAAGCAGTCATAAACGCCATAAGTCACTGGAGCAACCTACTACAGAACGCTCAGTTGATGGTTCACACAGACAATTCAACAGTGGCGTTTTATGTGAACAAAACACGGTTCAACAAGGTCACAGAACCTACTGACTCGATGTTTCAGACGGTTTGATCTAATCGACAATCTAAACATACACGTCAGAGCTTGCCACATTCCAGGAGCAAAGAATGTATTAGCAGACGCGCTCTCTCGGCCACACCAACCGTCGCCGACAGAATGGATGCTCCACACAGAGATATTCAATCAAATAATCATGGAAATAGGATCTCCTCTGATAGACCTATTCGCCACTCGATTCAACAAGCAACTGACAACATTCGTATCGCCAGTGCCAGACCCACTAGCATGGGCAACGGACGCACTAAGCATATCGTGGGAGGGACTCAACGCGTACGCTTTCCCGCCTCCAGCGTTAATCCCACAAGTCTTACAGAAAATCAGTCAAACGCAGAGCCTCCATCTGATTTTGGTCGCGCCCTACTGGCCAGCGAGAACTTGGTTTCCAGATCTCATACAAGAAATCGGAAAACCAATTCTTCAGCTCCCACAACGCGCCAATCTATTGATACATCCGCACACCAAACAAGTGCACGAAACACCAGAAGCATTCCAACTTCACGTATGGATTGTATCAAGGCATGTCTGAATAAGAGAGGTTATTCTGCCAGAGCGGCTAAAGCGGTCACGCTTGCACTACGTAACTCAACTCGTAACTTATACGATGACAAATGGCACAGTTTTGTCAATTACGCTGCTAAGAAAGGATTTACAGCCAGATATGCTACACATCCTCAAGTGGCAGATTTCTTATGTTATCTACGTCAAACTAAGAATCTAAAAGGCTCAACCTTGTCCACTTATCTTGCAGCTATAAGTTCTGTCATAACTATGAGAACGGGCGTCAAGTTGACAAAAACACCAGAGTTACTCGCTTTGTTACGAGCGTTCCGATTGGAGGATCAGAAACGGAAGTTTCACGCTCCAGCCTGGGATCTAAATATAGTGCTCCAACACCTCACTAGTGAGGCTTATGAACCATTGCTATCTACTTCGTTTGAATCACTGACCCACAAAACCTTGTTCCTGTTAGCACTAGCTACGGCCGCCAGGATGTCAGAGATTCACGCACTGGATTACGAGAGAACACGCTTTGATGATATTCATAACATAGCTCATCTGGGACTTCGCTGGGATTTTATAGCGAAAAACCAACTGCCAGGTCAACCAGACAGATTATTCCACGTCCCAGCTCTCTCATCCATACTTGGACCGCATGATACGATGGATCTATCACTATGCCCAGTTCGAGCACTGAAAATATATCTCCAACGATCCAAACAGAGCAGAGGGATATTCAAGAGATTATTTATCCCTATATCTACAGCTACGCAGACGGAAGTCTCACGTACTACTATCTCTATCTGGATCAGAACTGTCATACTACGTGCCTACAAGGCTGCAGGACTCGACCCTCCAAGAGCTTCTAATCCTCATGAAATTAGAGCGCTAGCCTCAACTCTCGCTCTACATGGAATTGCTCGTTGAATACCATAATGGAGGGATGTTTCTGGAGATCCGATATGGTGTTTGCCAACCACTATCTGAGAGATATCACCACCAAGGACGTCTCAGGTATCCACCATTTCGGTCCCATGGTCCTCGCTCAACAGTTGACAGTTCCACGGAGAAGATAAGTCTATCTTACAGATTTTATACTTATCTGATAACAGTACTAATAGATACATGCTATCTATATATTTTGCTTAAAGGTCACATGCAACGTAAAACACAACTTTGCAGATTCTGATACCTTTCGGTATGGACTTACCCAAACAAATCGTCAAAATGCAAATTCAACTTATAAAGTTGAAAAATAATGCGATGAAAAAACGCGCGAAATCGGATTTCAAAACGTTTCAC